ACATCAGGTTGATGAATTTGAGAAACGGCAAAAGGCATATGCAGATAAACATCGAATGACCATCGAACAAATGGATCAAATGGGTAAGTCAATAAGCATACAATTAGTATAGATGTATTGTTCTCAAAAAGAAAGCATGACAAACCAAGTTCTAACTCCTTCGTTGCCTACAATTTCTATAAGTTTCGATGGAGACGACTCCAATTGTTAATAAACTGGAAAGGAAAAAAGGATCAGTTTTCAACACTTTGTAGTCCTTTCTCGTTTACTAGATTAAAATAACAAATAGTTTCTCCTTGAAGAAATTGGAAAAAGACTTTGATTATTGACAAGACAACACAGCGTTACTGCGCTTTACCTAAAAAGTTTTTTCGGGCTTACCTGTTAAACAGGATAGGTAACAGAACAAATGACACACCCTACAGAAGAATACTAATGTGAATGCGAGTGCTAAAAGGTGAGGCAATATAAACACACGCTGATGCGAAAACAGCAATGCCTTACGAAAACTGGAGGTGTTCACGAGATCTTGATGAATTTATAATGAACAAGCCTTGGGCAAAGCTCAGTTTAGACTGCATCATTCAAGAAATCGGCCTGAGATCTGTCTAACCATGGTCTCACTATAGAAATCAATAAAGATCTAAGACCTTTTTACTGACCAGAGGTTAACTGACTGGAATTAAAGGATATATGACAAAAAAATGAAAGCACAAAGTCGTGTTTTGGGAATTTCCTTTCAGTTGATGGAATGTCATTGAGAGCTTAGTCAATTGTTTTCTATCGAAAATTAGGGAGAATAAATGAATCAAACGGACACATTTTCCTTTCAAAAAAAAGCATTAACGTGCCCCACGTGAAACAGTAAGTTCTATTTTTGCGTTGAAAGCAATGCTTTTCAAGCCCAGCCAAACGATTTTCCCTGTAAAACTTGATTTTTGAAGAAGCTTCTTGATTTAACTGCAGTCGATGACCATTTTAATGCAAGGTTAAAAAGCGACGAGCTAACACAAAAAACGTTTTTTCCTCAAGTATTTTTTATAATAGAAAGAACTTTTTTATGGTGTTTGACACTAGATTTTTGCATTTTGATTGTTGTGATGAACACAAAGGAATTTTTCACAAAGTTCATTCAAAGAACATTTTAGAGCAGATTGAGTTTTCCCTCGAAACGTCTCTTGACATATCTTAATCCTAAGAAGTCTGTTCTACAAAGGACATGGAAAATATGAACAAAGTTAGCTGCTTTTCTCCGAATATACAGATAAGACAACTGACTCACTTTATTTCCGACTTTTTCCGAAAGAAAACTGCTGTTCACCCAAGAACTTTCTTGTCAGAAAGAGTGTTTGTCTAATGAAAGCTTGTCAAAACTTTCTTAACAGGAAAAGTGTGAAAAATAGGAAACGAAACCAGTCTTTGTCAAGATTAAAAAAAAACATAATCTTTTTAGTTGTAGTGGAAAGAATCAGGGTTTAAAATTTAAGTTTTCAAGTTACACCTTTTTGACTTAGAGTCAAGGAATTAAAGTACTCGTATCCAAAACTATTATAAGGACTTACGAAGTGATCAAATATTCGATTGACTGAATATTTGAATGTGCTTTACACATGACGTCGTCAACTCCGACATTTTTCGATAAGAATTGACGCTTCACCTGCTCAAGAACTACTGCTTCTGATACTGGCAACCTCTAAAACTCCCGACATTGATTTGCAAAGAGGAATGTTATTGAAAAAAAATAATGTACTTCCTTATTCATTCATTTTCTTTTTCCAGAGAAAACTCCAACAAATGCAGAAGTATGTATAATTCCGTCTGAAACAGAGCCTGTAACGAGTGATAGTGCTTTGATGAGGCTGGCTCCAATTCCACTTTTCTTCTATCGTTCACCAAAAGTTGCCGTTCACTATTCAGGTGAAAGTTGCAGACTAACATTTGAACAAAACGGAAAACTGGCTATTGATATATGTCGATACTACGGTGCTTTAATTGTTGCCGCGCTACACGGTGAAAAGAAAGAAGAACTATTACATAACAATTTTTATGAACGAAAATTTCAACTTGGTTGGTTTGGTAATGAACCACTGCATGAAGATGTTCTTGGAGTAGCACATGGTAGTTACAAGAAGAGTGGTGGTTATGACGAGGGCATACGAGGGACAATGAAGGGAATTATAGTGTTGGAAGCAGCTCTATGGGCTTTTTGGTCAGACAATGGGTCTCATAGAAATGGAGCAAAGAATATCATCATGCTAGGTAACGAGAGAAAGCCATAGCTCTTGAGTACGAAACTTATTGCGCACAACAAGGGGAATTCGAGCCAGCTATATTTGACGGGAAATGCTTGACTAATGACTCAATTTTTACTGCCACGACTCGATTCTCAAATTCGTGAAATAGTTGACCCACTCATTTTTACAGTGTAACACAGGTGATATGGACCTCATTGCGCTAACCTGTCACTGGCAATTGCACTCACAATGAGCATTTTTTGCCAGGTAAACGGATATGTGGCTTCACACTATGCCATTCCATACTACAATATGACGTTAATAGGTTTTCGCGTGTGCTCCTTCTGGTGCTGTCAAGAAAAATTGGTTTTCGAAGAGTTTCGCAAAAACCAGATCTCCGAACATCCTTTAGAAAAATACTTAAACATTTTAAAGTGTTGTCGCTCGATTTGGCATAGTCGAAAACCTTTAGCAAAACTTCTAATCATTTATTGGCGCTTCTAACTCCTCTAAAAACATTGCCTTAGAGATACAGGAAACTTCGGGAAATCGCGACTTCGAAAGAAATTTAGCAATCTTTTGCCGCAAAAGTAATCGAAAAACACGTCATCAGATGCAGATTTTTAGGCTGAACCCAAATCTAAGACTAATTTTGGGAGTACATGCCTTGCAAATGAGAGAAGCCGCAAGAACCTCCCAGCATCAGGATTTTTAAAAAACTTATTATATACTCAACAAGAAAACATTCAGGCTTGTTTGGGCGTATGTGTGTGTCTGTGTATCACATCTAGTAGAATATTTTCTGGAAGTTTCAGCCTTCTTGGGGCTTAAAAACTTTAGAAAGGCTACTTCATTGAGCATATCTTATTGGAGACTGGTAACTTATAGAAACTCTCTTTCTCTTATACAATAGCCTAAAATGGAATACTCTTTCTATGAATCGATCGATTAGTAGCTAAGCCTCTAGGGTATGTGTGCTTTCTGTATTAACTCAGTCCTCTTCTGCAGAAAAGAAATGGCTTTCACCAAAGTAGTTCAGAATTAGGGACAATATGCGGCATAATTTTCGCCGTCAATTAAGCACGAGAACTGAAAGTTTTTCGTAATTAAATCAGCACCATGTTGGTATATATGAAGCACCATTTGAGTCTCGAAAAATCTCACTTTTCAGTTTTCCTCCAAATCTCCACTTGATTGGCAACGATGAAACTTGTAGAAAATTTGGCACAAAATCCGAAATAATTCGTCTTTACTTTATATGTCGGGCGCAATACGCAATACTTCTTGTGGAGTACCGTTATCGTAGACAAACTGACAGCATTTAACTTTTGTAGATTCCCCCTTTCAGTGACGTGCAAATCTAATACTCTCCTCGCAACAATGTGCTTAATTGAGAGACGTACTTCGGTGTTGTAGAGTTACAGTTAGCGCTCGTTCAACTCTATGTGTTTCAGGTGGTGATACCGATACATCTGCTGCTATTTATGGAATGTTAGCTGGAGCATATTATGGTGTAGAGGCAATAGACAAAGAGTGGATTCAACAGTTGTATGCCAGTCAATTTATTGGAGCCATTGCACTATGGTTAGACTATGAAGGACTCAAATGGTTCCAGAAACAATGAATTTTTTTAACTGTTCAAAACCGTTCTTAAATGTGGAACTTTAGCTTAAAACAAAAGATTTCTAAGTTTTGTTCTTTTTGTTTTTACCGAAGACATAGCCAAGAGCTTGTAATTTTTTATTGTTCTTGTTTTTATTCGTTGGCTTCGTTGTTTACTTATTGATTACTTAGCCAAGAAGAAAAACTCAAAAGAAAACAAAAATATTTAGGGATTTCTCATATATTGGATCCTAAGTATGAGGTTGGTGTGGGTGTCGATGTGTGTATGAAAAAAAAGAAAGACTATATGCACCTGCCACCCACACCCACCATCCACACCCACACCCACACCCACACCCACACCCACACCCACATCCACGGTGCAAAAGTCACTTTATCGAAAACAAAATTGAATATCTTAATTACAGCTTGAGCAGATGAGGTGATTTTTTTATCAGTGATAGAGACATGTTCAAGCTTTATATCCATAAAGACATGCCTAGAGAGATTCTTTGTTAAGTATATTATTGTATTTCCTATCTGTGAAAAAGTAAATTTTTTTTCTTAAGATCAATAGTGACACTTAACAAAGGGTCTCGTTAGGCATGTCTTTGTGGATATAAAGCTTGAACATGCTTCTATCAATGATAAAAAAATGAGCTTGTTTGCTCATGTCGTAATAGAGATATTCAATTTTTTCTGTGTTTCCTTACTTTTGGGACACCCGGTAGATCCAGCTAGGTGACTTATGAAGAAAATTTTTTGAAAAAAAATAAAAAAATAAAAACATTTATAGCCGATAGATGTGAACTTACTAATTTTTTGTCTGCATTTACCTTCATTTAGTCTATTTATTATATTATGAAGTTTGATTAGTTGTCACGAAATTGAAATACGTTGATTAAGCTGCGAAGAAAATGACGAAGGACATATGTCATTTGGAAATTTTCTCTGAACAAAGTGAATAGGATCTCGAAATGATAGAAAATCAAAATTTCATATTTATTTAAGAAAAATCTAGACGTAAAAAGACAGTTTATAAAAGTATCTCAATTACAATTAGAGTTTTTATTCAAAAAATTCTATAAAAATAATAAAGTATTATATGAATATTGAAAGATAATGGTTAACTATAAAAAACCATGATGACGACAAAAATTCTCTTTATAATTTATAGAGAACAGGTACATCAAGTTTTTCATATGATTGAGCAAGTGGGTAACATAACAATTTACTTTTCCATATATGAACATTGTCGATCCATTCAAACTAGAAAAACAAAAACAAAAAAGTAAAGCAAAATAGATTAATAATAATTTTACCTCTGGTAAATCAATCTCTTGTTTAACTAAAATATTTTCTGTTTCAGTTAATTTATCAATAATAGGTGGCTGTTCAGTTGATTGAATTGTCTCATGACTTGTTTCAATGGTTACAGCAATATCTTCTTCATTAATGATTGAAGACGATTCTTCATGAATAATATCTGTTAATTCATCTTCATTTTCGACAGTATTTGTTTCATTAGTTTGCATTTGAAGTGCAAATGAAGATGGATTAACATGGACAGATAATTTACGTCGATAAATTGAACGTGGTGATATGTAATGATCATAGAAACGAAGTAAATCATCACGTTCTAATGTTTTTATTATTTCAGTTTCAAGTGGAGCTAAAAAGTAAACTTTTAATTACAAATATTTTTGTAACATTTGTTCTTACGACGATCGAAATAAAATTGATGACTAATTATTTCATTCCAAAACTGATTTCCTTGATCATGCATGTTTTTTGGTATTTCCACTTTTTTAACGATATAACCTTCACGTTGTTTTTTAAATAGTTCATCAGACATTGTCATAATATAATCCTATTTAAAATAATAATTTGTGGCTTTTTTTTGTTTGTTAGATTGTGCATTAGCCGTTCTTAAAGACAATTTACAATGGATTTGAAACAGTCGTATACAATATTAGAGATCCTGTAGTTCGAGAATATTTATCGTAAAACAGAATTGTCTAGAAGATGATATATAATATTTATTACAGTCTATGATACTGACAGATTAATGTTTACGATGTTTGCCACCTTTTTATGCAACGAAATACATCACAACTAACAGCTTATCATCATCAAATACGTGTTAATAGTATCTATAGTCCGAGCCATTAAAAGTACATCTTAAAATTTGATTTAAAAAATTTTTTTTTCAATTTCGTGATGATGTGTTCTCTTGTTTTTTTTATATACTATAGACCGATATGGATGGGTCATATATTTACCATTACAATACGCTAGTGGTCCTCTATGTATACTGTATATTTTAGGTTTTTATCGTTTTGTATGTATGTATATATAATTTCAAGTATAGTGATTTTCACATTTTATTACAAGTTTGATTTACATTTGTACATTCAATATTTGTTTAACATATTTATCATATGGTACGTATACATGACACCATGTATTAACATATTCCGGGATAACTTTTTATATTATAGAGGTATTATTAAAGCTCTCGTATTTACAACATCAGTCAATTTTTGACGTTTTCATGTATTAAATTTGACATATGTTTAGTCTCTTATTGATAAATTAATCAAGGTAGATTTATTTTATACTATTAACTAATATCTTTTGAAATAATATTTATTTTCTTACATACTCTTATCGAATCAATAAATAATTCAATACGTTGATTAATATAACCAAGTTCTCGGGCTGATTGGACAGTAACACTAAAACCTTGTACACCACATGAACGCCATAATTGTGAATTAATGATGTAACCTAACTGTTCTTTAGTTCGTAATTGATTAAAACAAGGTTGTTTAACTAAATAAGAAAATAATCCAAGTAAAGCATTATTTTCAAGTGTTTCTTGAAAACATTGTAAATATATAATGATTGAATTTAATTTATATGCATCATTAAACATTGTATATGCATAATTACAACCTAAGAAAATATTCAATTTAAAATAAATAAGAAAAGTCAAACAAACCATCAGGTAATATTAATTCACGTTGATTAAACCACATACTAGGAAAAAATGGTTGGTAAAAAGATTTTTCTTGAAATTTTTGTTCAACTAAAGTCATATATTCAATTGCTTGCTATTCAAAACAAAACAACAAATATTCAAATTGAAATCAAACAAACAAAAAAGATAAATTTTCGTACATTTTTTGTTAAATTTCCATACATTAATGAATCAATATAAAAACGTTTTAATACTCGAGTAATGAATGATTCTACATCATGCATTGTAATATCTTACAAAGAAAAATGAAGATGTTCTTTTTTAAATTAACTTTTTTCAATGTACCATCAAGACAACTAAGTAATTCATTATTATTCCAGTCATATTCAGCTGTTAAATACGTAAGACCAAACTTTGCCATTGTAGAAGGAACACAACGACGAAAAAATTGTAATGACTGTTTAAACTAGAAAAATACTTCAATAAGTTTAATCTCTCTTATCAGTTGAATTACTTTTTCTTTAATTATTTCAAATTGTTCTACTTCTATTTTAATATTAATCATATGATCAATAATTATATTAAGTAATTCTTTTATTTTATGATTAAATCCAGAAATACTTAACTAGAGAAAACCAAATAAAACAAAATTAATTTATATTGAAAATTAATATTAAAATACTTGAATACTATCATTGCAATCATATAATTCATAGTCTAAACCTCCAAGTTGTGCTGGATAGACAAATTCAGCTAATGAATCATTAATTAATTCAACATAAAGTGTAGTTAAATTGGAATGTATTGGATCAACGTATACTAATGGACTGAACGTTAAAAAATAATACAAAAAATATACTGCAATATTTCTCTTACTTTCGAAATTCAAAATAAATATAAGCTTTAGGGAATCTATAAAATGAATCTTCAGCATAATAAAGACGATAATATTCATTTTCCTTTTAGAAAAAATCTAATTTTTAAATTAAAATCAAGAGAATAACTTTTTACTTTAACCTTTGTTGGTATTTGTGGTCGTGCAAGATTTTTCTTTTTAGAAAACAATTGAAAATCTGTTGGAATAAATTGATTTGGTATTGGTAAATAAAGTTCACGATTAATTTCACATGTTTCACATTGTTTAATAAGTTCTTCTGATAAATATTCTTGTTTATATTGTGTACCATACCATTTTTCTTTTTCTCTTGCAATTGATAGAAACTCTTTACTTGTGAGAAATACTCTTAAAGAGCATTCAAATGGTTTTGAAAATAAATTTCAAGTCTTTTTTTGTTTTTTTTTTACCTCATTTTACTTGGAATTAAATATTCATTAAGAAGTTCATTTATTAAATCTGGACGAAAGTCACGCATTTCATATGGACCGGATAAACATTCACTTAATGGATAATCCTAAAAAAGCGGAAAAAATTCGAATTGATATTGTCTTGTTTAGATATATATATATACCCTCATTCTACCAGCTAAATTTGATACAATATAACGCGCCTGTCCTTTTTCTTCAAATTGAAATTCCATTTGATTTATATTCTAAACATAAAACAATACAAAAACATTTTTTTTTTCTTCAAACTTAACTCTTCGCCCTACTTTGCCTTCATTAAAAATCCATTCTTTTGGTCCTTCTTTACGTAACATAGCCAAATATTGATAAACACTATAAAGAATTCGTTCCCACTGACCTAATTTTAATAAAACAAAATTTCTAATTAATTTTTCTATTCTATTTACTCAATCCTTCAATAGTTAGTTGGATACTAATAGAAAAAAAATTAAATCCAGGTGCAGAATTACTTTCACCAGCTACTAATTCAATAGCAAGACCCAATGTTTTTAAATATGACGATAATGAACCATCACCTTGATGTCCAATCAAATGTGATAGATATGATTCAGGCTGAATGTAATCAAGATATTCAATATATGAAGATTAGCATAAAGTAGTCGAATAATCTATACGTACTTTGCAATAATATAATTCCCTTTGATCAGGTATAACCCAATTGATTGTTAATTGCCGAGATTCGTTCACAGGAACATGATAGCAAATTGTCTTTAAAAAAAACAAAATCCCAAAAAAAAGTTTTTTTAATAAAAAAAACAAACTTTTCGTTTGCTTTCACCATATGGATCAGAAAAATATTTTGGTTTTTCCAATTTTTTATTTTGTACCTCTTTAAAACTTTTAATAACAAGTGATTGAAGTTCATCGAGTGATTCTAAAAACAAAATTAGTTTTATTTTTATTTAAAAAAATTAATGACATACGATTGCCAAGTACAGCTAAACTCATTCGATTTGATGAATATTCAGTTTTATGAAAATCCAACAATACTTGTCGAATATCAATTCCACGTTGTTTAGGTATTATTCTTAATGATTCTCTATTACCAATAGAAAATCCTGAATATGGATGTTTTGGATCTGATGTAGATTTTTCTAATTGAGAAATACGCCATGTATCTTTAAATAAATTTGTTTCATATTCAGAATCAACTGCTTCTAATTCACGATCGATCGATGATGCAGCAAAGAGTGGTGAAATAAAAAATTGAGCAAAACTAAATCAAATAAAAATATTTATTTCATCGAAAAGAAATAAACAATCAAACTAACATATCAAGTGCATCTGCTAATAAACTTGGATTAATATCAAAATTAAAATTCGTATGATCATCACTTGTAAAAGCATTTGAACAACCACCATTTCCTACTATTAATTTTGAATATTCATTTTCATCTGGATACTAAAAATTTTATAAAATAGTTCATTGAAATTAGAAGTCTTCTATGCTTAGAAGAGGTTTTGGATCACATCAAATCATTTACAGATGTTCCTAAAAGGAACTGTCTTTAATCAAAATGATCTTCTCCTGTAAATTTAGCTGTTATCAGGATAACAAGCTTACAATGATCCAGTATACAGCCTTTTCCCTCTTTCTCTCATTTCTGTCCGACACTCATGTAGTGTTCTACCTTTCCTCTTTTTTCTGTTATATCAAAAACGAAAGCGCGACTATGAATTTTCTTCAAACCTTACGTTTATTGCGAATCTAATACTTCTCCTAGAGAAATTCTGCATTAAATAGGATAAATATACTATTGGAACCGACAAGCAATTCTTATAAAAGCAAACTTATTTGAATTGAAACTTGACTTCGAATGTGGTTTATACTTATCGAAATAGTAGAACAAACAAATTGTGCAATCAAAAGTGGCTATGGATAGAATGATCTCAGCATCAATAAATCTATATGCAACAGACTAGTACATTGCCGGCATAACATCGGCAATCGTTATGACTTATGATCGGAACGAAGAAGTAAAGTCGTAGATTCGTCTATGCAATAGAAGCCAAATTCGAGAGTCGACTGTCTCTCAAAAGAAGGAATTCAAGTCGAGTAGATCCTTTTTGAGCAAAATCTTTTGTTAGACCTAGTTGTATGTCAAATACATATACACTTACTTCAGGCAGAATCCATGTCGAGAAGTTTTACTTTATCTTTTTTTATTTTCAGTTACTCTTCATTGATAGTGATATCATGACAACTGTATTCGTTGCAAAAAAGAACTTTACATTATAGAATACAGAAGAAAATTCTTGCAATCACAATTGTAAACAAACTACTTACTTTTGAACTACCCATAAAAAGCATATGTTCAAGAAAATGAGCAATGCCAGGAATATCTTTTGGATCAGCTAAACTACCAATCGTTACATCAAGAGCAGCAGCAGCTTTATCAATATTTGGATGACTTATAAGTAAAACAAGCATCTCATTTGAAAGTTCTAGACCACGATAATTCCATGAATCACTAGCACTTTTTCTGATGTTCTCAACAATACCAACGATTGTTGAATCCGATGATGAAAGTCGTTGTTCAGATTCCATAGTCATTAAATGAAATTATCAAATGAATAAGCAAGTTATACTAGCAGCAAAGACCTAGAATGAAAGTAAACAATTGACAATAGCCAAAAAAAACAGTAATATCCAACGACTATCTCAATTGCTAAGCCAATCATAATCTTTTGTAATTAATGAGAAAGTACTGCTATAGTATCAATACGGTTTATTTTTCTTTATGCAAGCATTTATCATCCAACTCTATAATTTTTGAATAAAATTGGACATTTTTTTTTCATCTGTCAAAGATAGGTTCTTCTCAAAGTTTATGACAATGGAAGTTAGATTATTTTATTATATTGAACTTTTGAAAGCGAGCAAGAGAAGATAGAGAGCAAAACTGAAATCCTCTTATGAAAAACTTTTCGTGGTTAAAAAGAGTGTTTCTAAAAAGTGAGAACACATGCAATTCATATTTAATCTCAATATATATTCGATAGTGCCTGGAAAATTCATAAGTTTTCACAATTATAAGATTGATTGCTCATAAAATATATATAGTAGTCATCAAAATAGTCTACCTTTCGACATCTAGTTCCATGTACCATAAATCTAATTCCGTCTGTCATAAAGTAGAACTTACTACCATAAAGATAGCCTCGTTTACTGCACAATAGGTCCCACGATCATAAACATAGTTGTTTTTACTACAAAATAATTCTAGAAGCGCATCTTTCAGCTCAAACGGAATAATCTACAGGATAGATGAAATATAATAATAGTTTCGGTAATTTCTAGAAGTTCTGCTTATAGAAGAAAGAAGGGAAATCTAAAGTACATTTCTGTTGAATGAATAGTTCAACATGAGATTATTTCATTTCTGTTTGTTGATGTTCAAATCTCAGGAGACACCATTTAGGGATCTTTAATACGATAAAACTTAATATTCTACGACATATTTTTAAAAATCTCATCTACTCATATAAACATTCTTTTTCGATTACTAATACAAGTTGTGCTTAGTTAATCCTTGTGCAAGTGGAAGTTTTACTTTTACGTAGATTTACTGGATAGTATCATATTTTCGTATTATTGCACTAAGAATTAAATGTTTAATAAATTCTTAGAATCAGATAAGATTATTATTATTAAAATAATAAAAATAATCGAAAAATGATTTTCTGTTTATTCAATCTAAAGTAATATATGTTTATCAAAGAACTTATCCTTGTATTATCTGCTCATCCGTAAATGAAACAGAAAAAAAAAGAAGACAAACAAGGTTGATCGACTGAGAAGACGGTACAGATATTTGAAAACAGATAAATACTGTGGCCTGTGTTCTCTTGATGTTTTTCGTTGCTCGACAAACAGACAAAATGCCAGCAACATATGCACTCAATTACTGAGGACGACACCTACTAGAAGCTCGACGAACAGCAGAAATGAAACAACAACAAGATATCCGTTAATTCATATGGATTAGAATTTTTTTTCTGCTTTCTGTTGCTATCTTTGATGAAAGATATACATACGAAAGATAGAAGGAAACAAATGTTGGATATCGGTACCCGTTTTCTTTTGGTATCGTATATTTCCTCTTCTTTTTTTCTTCCTATGTTACTTACATACATACATGCAAGTGGGATGTAAATGTAAAATCAATGGCTAATTTCTTTTTTTTTCTCTTCATACCCATTAATGATTGTAATAGATTTAGATGGAAACAATCATAACGCCCATTCCCATATATTAGTGACATGAATACTAATGTTGCGCATTTTTCTTTTCTCTGCTGATGAGGGTGTGGGTGTGGGTGTGTGGGTGTATGAGGAGAAAACACCTACACCTACACCTACACCTACACCTACACCCACCCACACCCACACCCACACCCACACCCACACCCACACTCTAAGAATCTATTCAATAATAATGTTAATTAAGAAGCGAATTCACAATTAATACGAATAATTTTGCAATTGATACAGAGGAACATAACTGATATGAACATCAGGGCCAGTACAATGGGCACCAACTAGTGCAGGATGTTAGAGTCGATATGGAGCATATAAAAAAACAGAGTAGTTACGATTGGTAGTTGTTATTTTTTTCCATAAAGATTGCTCTGACGTATATACCGGGTGTTCCAAAAGTTTTGCAACATTTTGTATTTTGCATATATCTCGGCATAGGTAAATGATAGAACCTTGATTTTTTTTTAAAAGATGCGCCTTGAAAAGCTCTACAAAAACTGTAAGAACAAATCCCTATTGACTTGTTCTGATGATGTCTCCTATACTTAAAATGAATAGGTCAGATGATGGTCCTATGTCCCATGGTATTAAGTATTTGGAAGACTATTTTTGTTTCGCAATAGGAACTTGCTCATACAGATTTTGTAGAGCTTTCGACGGCGCATCTTTGGAAAAAAGATCAAGACGTTATCATTTTCCTAAGTCGAGATATTCGCAAAATAAAAAGAAGTCTCCCAAATATTATTGTTATACTAATTACGGTGGGACATAACACCGTCATGTGACCTGTTCATTTTGAGTATTGGAGACAATATTTGACGAAGTCAATAGGGATTTTTTTCTTACAGTTTTTGTAGAGTTTTTCACGGCGCATCTTTTGAAAAAAAAAGTCAAGGTGCTGTCATTTTCTCAAGGCGAAATATTTGCAAAACAAAAATAGTCTTTCAAATACTTAATACCATGGGACATAGGACCATCATCTGACCTATTCATTTTAAGTATAGGAGACATCATCAGAACAAATCAATAGGGATTTGTTCTTACATTTTTTGTAGAGCTTTTCAAGGCGCATCTTTTAAAAAAAATCAAGGTTCTATCATTTACCTATGCCGAGATATATGCAAAATACAAAATGTTGCAAAACTTTTGGAACACCCGGTATACGTCAACAACGTTGAAAGGGTTAATTATGCATTACAATAAATCCACATTAGAACGAAAAACGTACATATATAAGCATGGATTGAACCAAAATAAGATACAATAAGATAAACGTTCGACTCATCAAGTGTCTTTAAAAATAATCGAATTTCTAAGACTAATCAAATTTATTTTAATACTAAAAGGCTAGTACAAATCTTTTTAATAATTGTTCTTGATTAAATCTGCTGCTCTCTCTGCTATTGCAATTGCTGGAATATTCGTATTGCCCGAAATATGACTTGGTATAATACTTGCATCAACGACACGTAGACCTCTCACACCTTTTACCCTGGTATCAGACGTTACAACTGCCATTGGATCTTCTTCTTTTCCCATTTTACACGTACCAACTGGATGATAGACTGTAACACTATATTTTCGAATAAACGATTCCCAAAATTGATCTTCATTTTCTTTCATTTCGTCTCCGTTCATTTCTTTCGCCATTGATTTGATTGTACTGTTCAATGGTTCAGTCTGACAAATTTTTTCAATCAGCTTACATGCTTCAACTAGTTTACGAATATCTTCTTTGTCTTGTAGATAATTTGGATTGATAATTGGATGCGCGAGAGGATCACGACTTGCAAGTGTAATTTCACCTTTTGATTTTGGATGCAAAATTGTAGGTAAACATAAAATAGTCCATTGAAATCCGTCCATTAGATATGGTTTCAAATAGTGCTCAAAAACTTCTGGTTTATAGTTCAAGTTCTTAAAAAGTTCAGCGTCAACTGTTAACGGTGCAAAATGCGTTTGAATATCAGGTACTTGTATCTTATCTGAAAAACAAAATAGATCTATTATAGGTAAAACTGTGAATTAATAGAAAAATAAATTGAATCTAAATTTGAATTACCATTTCCATTCAATTGACACCACCATTGTGATTCAACAACACATGATGTTAAAGGACCTTTTCCTTGAGTTGCCCATTTTTGTAAGTTTTCGGGTGTTAGATCGTGAAGTGAAAGTGTTGGTATACAAGTCTGATAGACTAGAACAGTCATTAGATGATCTTGTAAATTTTTACCAACACCAGGTAAATCAACGATCACTGGTATTTGATGTTTCTCTAATTCTTCTCGAGGACCAATACCAGAGAGAAGAAGTATTTGAGCACTTCCAACCGTACCCGCTGATAGTACCACTTCTTTACCTTTGATAAATTCTTCTTTATCCAAAGAGCTACTGCGTCTAATAATGACACCTAAAGGTATGAAAAGTGTTTGGTTCAAAATCAATATCCAAAAGAAACAAAAGTAGATGAAATCTTTTGAAAAGTAAAACTTCTAGTAGTACTTTTTGAAACATCAATTACAATGGATGTCATCAAAAAAAAAAAAGATCATAACATTCTTAATAGTTTCAACTGTAAGAATTAGCAAGGAAGAAAAAAAGAATTTCTATTAAATTCATATAAAGTTATTTTGCACTTTTTTATCATCGCTTTATGTCTTAAACGAGTTTTTACTGATGAAAGAAAAACGTAACAGATGCTACTTTAGATGGAATTTATATTTTCTATCTTGTAAATTTTTAACAAATAGAATACGATGAAATGAAACTCGTAAAAATTTTTTTACAATCTCAGTCAAAACTGTTTTTTTTTCAAAAAGACGCTTCTAATTTTACACTCACCAGATACTTGTTTTTGTTCATCAAATACTACTCGACAAGTATGTGCATGTATTAACAAATCAAAATTTTCTCGTTTTACTGCTTTCAAGAGATAACCACTTGCTGTCGACCAACGTTTACCACCTTTTGTTGAAATTTGTGACATTGATACACATCCATTGAGACTTTCTTCGGCATTATAATCTTTAGTTTCACGAAATCCATTCTTTTCACATGCCTCAATGAGCATGCGATTTATTGGATTGGCTTCTTCAAGCATTGTTACATCCATCATCCCATTGTTCTGATCATGATTTCGAAAATGTTCATTCTTCGGAATTGTATTCGGATCCGCACATTCTAATTTTTTAAAATATTTTAACATTTCTTGAAATGACCATTGTGGTAATTGCCAATTATCATAATCATGTGGATCACCACGAACATATTGCATATAGTTTATAGACGAAC